CTCGAAAACCCACGGTTCAACACTTTGAAGCACATTGTTCCGTTTAGTGCCACCACTTACATTTTCACGCATAAAGTAAAAAAAACACAAACACATTTGTCACTACAGGTGCACTTACTTACTTGGTACGTTTCTTAATACGAATATATTATTCTGCAGTGTTATAATTGCAATCAGTGACGTGATGATAATGTAATGCTCATGTATAAAGCATCAATACGCCTCTCTCACTCCTCTGGCATCCACCCTCTCTCCCCACATATGTTTGAAGCTCGCTCTATCACAGCCAGTCTCTGGCCCATCTCGAAGCTTGTGCAGCAACAATCTGCCAATAGCGAGCCTGCTGAGGTGGGGAGAGAGCGAGCACAAGCACATACTATACAGCGTGCGAAGCTCGTGTTTATATGTAATATGTGAGCAGCAGGAAGCAGCTCGCTCTGCTCATTGCAGAAGGACGGCAGGATGGCGAGAGGACGGCGGGGTCTCGTGGCCCCTCAGAACACGTTTCTAGAGAACATCGTCCGCCGGTCCAACGGTAAGATACGATCCGGTTCTGATCTATTCTGCACCTGGCTTCAAATGGTGATAATATATTTCTTATATATAATGTTTTGTGATTTTGTTGCTCATTTCGCCTTCAGGCATAGCCACATAAACACACACGGGCAATTGCTAAAAACCTAAGTAGTACTGAAACCACAAGTAATTATGGTTTAAATTTATTATGGTAGCTCTTTACTTTCAGTGATGGCTATTCCTCTCTCTCTCTCTCTCTCTCTCTCTGTCTCTCTCTCTCTCTGTGCCCTCACACACACACACACACACACACACACACACACACACACACACACACACACACACACACACACACAACAACACATAATATATATAATATAATATAATATTATATATATAATAATATAATAATATATATATATATTCACACGTTGGTAATAGTTACAAAAGGCACATAGGCTCCTTATTAACAAGTAGGGGTATGGCAAATCAATTTCATAGAGCAAAGTTTATTAGATAAACAACTACCAATTTAGAGCTGCAGAGAATAAAAACAAACTAAATAGCAGGGCTGACAGTACCAAACCGTTAAGACACTTTATTAATAAACATTACTTTAAAGGACCAGGTTCACTGCCATGATGCTGCCCTTGGTTAAAATAGCAGCTCAAGAAAATAGTTAACTAAAATGGTGGAGACTAGCCACTTGAAGGCAACCTACAGGGAGGAGGGACCAAGGGTGCCACCAATCACTCACCCGTGTAATCTTTCTGAAATCCTCACTGCCACTCTCACTGCAAGTTAAATGGCCCGTTATACTTGTTTCCCGGTATGTACACTCCAATCCACAAAAGGGAATTCCACCACACGTGCCTAGCCCCCCTCCCCCTGTAAGCAGCTGTGTCTTCACTAAAGAAAATTAAAATAAACATGCATATCAAGCAATACAGAACACAAAATTCAGGAAATATTATATACAGGAATACAAACACACACACACCGTTTAAAATACAATTATTAGCAGTACAACTAAAAGCATGATTAAAATATAACAAACTGTTAACACTAAAGCACTATAGAACAAGGAACCAATCGATGCCAGTCAAACACAACAGCAACAAAGCAACAAAGGGTACAAGACAGCAGCGGTGTGTAGGCCTGTAACAAGAGAAAGAAACCAGTTATCCAGGGTCCACCCTACTTCTAAAAACAAAGAAAAGTACAAATGAAGTCACTTAAAAACAGTAAAAGTATGTAAGTGCAAATTGCATCAATAAATAATATGTACACTATAAAACTAAGAAAATTTTCTAATTGTTACTCGCTGCTCTCTATGGGCGTATTTGCTTTAACTAAAGCCACACTAATCAGGGGGAATAATTATTTTACTAAATCACAGCCTGTATAGTAACATACTACATTTACCTTTGCTGTAAGCTAACATTACCATCACACCTCACTGAATTGAATAAAATTACTCAGCTGCATTAATTCAAACTGACACTACTCTACATTTATAATAATAATAATAATCAGTTTGTGGTTCCAAGTTTCACAAGAAACAATTTTCTTGAATGTTTTGCAAAGTACTGGTTGTTAAAGTAAATCCCTTTTTTGCTGCTAGTGCTCTCTCAGAAATGCCCAGACTTGTCCCATTGTTGCTTATACTAGGAAATGTAAATGTGCTTCATTTGTATCGAAAAGATACTTGCAAAATTGATGGATGGATATTTTTTTTTCATATCACCAGTCACTAATTTAAATGTTAGGAAGTTCCTCTAGACATGCTTTGAATTACACCAGCCATTATTCAGTAAAAGGGGGTAACTGCATCTCTAATTATATATTAACAAAAGACATTCATGAAGACTCAAGAAGGAATGCAGCACACTAAATCCAGTGCCAAGACCATGACCATGCTGGAAAAGATAAGCAACTTTAATGACTTGAGTTTTCATTCATTATATTTATATGATGTCAATTTACAACAGTCACCTCAAGGCACTTTTATATTGTAAAGACCCTAAGACAATAATAGAAGAAAAATAGAGTACTTAGAGGAAGATGTCCGTGAAGGTTTCAGTCATCCAGGTCATCGTAGTCAAAGGAGCTGGAAAGAAAAGCGTCTGGACTTTTTTAAGTTGCTTGAAGACGTTTCACCTCTCATCCGAGAAGCTTCTTCAGTTCTAAGGTCAAATGGTGGAGAGTCCCAGATTTAAGACTGTGGAATCCCCACAGGACAAGACCCAATATGATCCTCTACCTAATCACATGAGCCAAGGTGTGAAAATGGGTGTAGGTCACAATCAGCCAGAGTTTCGGGTGAGCTCATTGTGAAACCTACCCCCACCCTATCATGTGATTTCCTGAGGTCAGATGGCCCAGGATGTGAGTGGGCGTTAAGGCGTCTGGGAAGGGATCTCAAAACTGGATTATAGATGGCAGACAATTAGTGTTGTAAACACCGCCTGAGAGCAATGAGAGGCGAAACGTCTTCAAGCAACTTAAAGAAGTCCAGACGCTTTTCTTTCCAAGCTCCTTAGAGTACTTAGAGGAAGTAACAAGCAAGACAGTATTTTCCCCATAGTAGCTTCTTTTCATTGCCTTCGTGTTAAATCCAGAATCAAATTTCAACGTCCTTCTCCTTATGTAAGGTCTTGAA